TATATATATATATATATATATATATATATATATATATATATATATATATATATATATATATATATATATATGTTTTTGGCACTGCGGATCTACCTTTCGCGAACATCATGGAACCCTCATCTCCGATTCTGACAGAAGCCGACTGGGATTGCATGCTCACCCTGGTTTTCATTACCGTCCAGTGGGTGAACCGCAGGAACGCTGCAGCTATGGCTGTCCTCCATGCTGCAGCAGCACTCCCGATGTGTGGTGCAACGGTGCCGGATGCTATGCTGGTTCTCGTTGGCGCTGTCATGCATAGCTTGTCGCTCATGAGTTGCGCCATACAATCCATTGGCGACAATATGGAGACGAGGAAGAGACTTTGGGTGCTAGAACGCAGCGGGGGGGTGTGGAAGGATCTGCAGAGGGTGGGGACACATCATGACCGAGTCTTCCGGCGGTTTTGCAGACTCCCTAGGCCGCTTGTCAACGAGATCCTGGCACGGATTGCTCCCCATATCCAAAGGCAGAGCACGAACTGGAGGCAGCCAATTCCGGCAGGGCAGAAGTTCGCGTGTGCTCTCATGAGGTGGGTGACAGGGGGCTGCTACAGGCAGACGGCGCATGGATTGGGGTTGGGTCTCTGCAGAGCCTTGCGAAGCAACGAGGACGTGGCGGATGCGCTCCTCAGGGAGTACGGGCAGACCATATCCTTCCCGACTGGAAGGAGGTTGCAAGAGATGATGGACGCCTTCGAGAGGAAAGGCTTCCCGGGGTGTGTGGGGGCAATTGACTGCACCTACATTTACATAGAGAAGCCCAAGAACGAGAGGTCCGAGTGCTACTATGATAGGACAGGGCAGTTCTCCATCGTCGCGCAAGTCATTTGCGACCATGAATGTCGAATCTCTAGCGTTTACGTTGGATACCTTGGGTCTGTCCATGATTCGCGAGTCCTTCGCATATCCCGTTTGTACCAGATTGCTCAAGAGGGCGGGGGGGTTTTCGGGAGCGGGACAGTTGTTCTGCGCGACGGGCGGAGCGTTGGTCGGTATCTTCTAAGCGACGCAGGCTATCCACTGCTGCCTTGGATCATGACCCCGGGCTGGCGAGGTCCAAGGACTCCTGAGCAGGTGGTGTATGATGACTGTCACACCTCTGCCAGGTAGTGCATTGAGAGGACATTTGGGCGGTTGAAACCGGTGTGGAGGCACTTCATCAAGCGGCAAATCATGAACATGAAGACATTGGTGAAGGAATTCATGGCTATATGCATTCTGCATAACTTGATGGTGGACTCGAGGGTGGTCATCGATCGGGATCTATTATCGGATGACAGCGACGACGACGACGGCGACGATGTGCATAATAGCCGTCGACGTCGTCGGCGTGTGCGCATTCCCGACAATGCGCCCCAGCAAGCGGTTGCTATGGATGACTCCGCACCTACCAGCGACCTGGCGAAACACATACGATTGAGCCTTGCCACCCACGTTAATCATCACACACGTGTCCATGGAACCCCGGCACCAAGCCCTTGGCAGACATGATGATCTGCCCGCAACGGGTTAACGGGGTGGGGTGGGGGGGTGTGGTTAGGATAGCGAAGGGTGGGGGGCCTCTCCCTCCCTTCGGCGTTCAGAACTACGAAATGTTTGTATTTGGGTCCCATTCATGCGGTTGTGTAACGACACATGATATTCATTTTGTTTCTTCAAGTGCCTCCGCTCCTGTCTTTGATTAATGATGATCTCTCTCTCTCTCTCTCTCTCTCTCTCTCTCTCTCTCTCTCTCTCTCTCTCTCTCTCTCTCT